GACAGAACTTCTCGGTGCAGCCAGGGGGCAGAAAGGGTCTGATTTGGTGACTGCTCTTTGCAGATGATGTGGTCCTGTTGGTGCCATCTTGCCGTGAGCTTCAGCTCTCACTGAAGCAGTTTGCAGCCGAGTGTGAAGCGGCTGAGCTGTGGATCAGCACCTCCAAATCTGAGGCCATGGTCCTGTCGGAAAAGGGTGGATTGCTCTCTCTGGGTTGGGGGTGAGGTTCTACCTCCAGTGGAGGAGTTTAGGTTTGTCTGGTGTTTTTACAGATGAGGAAAGAATGGAGCGTGAGATCACCAGATGAACTGCGGACTCTGTTGGTTAGTTGTGGTGAAGAAGGAGCTGAGCTGCAAGGTGAATCTATGTTTACCGGTCCTCCCCTCACCTACAGTCACAAACTTATAGTGACCGAAAGAATGAGAGTGATAATACACGGGGTTCAATGGAGTTTTCCTTTAGAGATAGAGTAAGAGGGTCAGTTATCAGAGACTCGGAGTAGAGCCACTGCTGCTCCACATCGAAAGGAGACGGTGGAGGTGGTTCAGACATCTGGTAAGGATGCTCCCTGGGGAGGTTTTCCAGACAGGAAGGAGACCCAGGACAAGCTGGAGAGACTATCAGCTGGCCTGGGACTGCCTTGGAGTCGTCCTGGAAGAGGTGGCTGTGGAGAGAGAAGCTGGACCCCCCTGCTCAAGCTGCCGCACCATGACCCGACTCCAGAACAAGACGGATGGATGTTGTTTATGCAAATACAATGGAATCAGGTAAAAAACATTCTGTTCTGAAAATTAATAATTAAAAAAAATATGTTTGCTGTCGACCTGGCCAGGGTGTCCCCCGCCTCTCGCACAGTGACCCCCGCAACCCAAAAAGGAAGAAGCATTGTTATTGCTGACTCAGCATTATTTAACTGATCTGATGGTAACCTTTGATGACTGTTTGGTGAGGTAGCAGTGACCTTTGACCTCTGACCATGGCTCCCTATGTGACCCCTTGAGTTTAGGAGGCAGCGGAGTTCATCACTAAAGGCTCCTCCCATCGGTGGGTTTAGCTCGTTCACTCGTCCAATTAGCCGACGACGGCTGTGACGGCAGCGGCTCTGCACCCAAACTAAATGTAAATTCTTATTCTGCCTCCGTTGTCTTAACTTCTATCAGGCTTCAACATGTGGACAAAACTAAATATAGATATATTTTGCTAACAAATAGAGTTAACGTCAATAAATAATGATAATGTAAAAACAATTATTTACAGCCCAGAGAATGTGTTGGAGATCAGGCTCGGCCACCACCGCAACCTTCAAGTCCAAATCTGTCAGTTTGATTACGATCACGGCTCTTTTGTCTAACTTAAAGCCAGTTGGCTGTGGCGGCCATCTTGAATCAGGTTGAAAACAGTTGATCAGTGGTGTTTGCTCATTACTTTGTGAAAATTCCATTAATTTCAATTAATTTTTCTAAATCTTGTGCAGCAATTCATTACATATTTTACTAACAGACACAGTTCAAACATGCATGTACACTAACATACGCACAAGCAAAAAGACAAATCTGTGTCTGAGATTTTAAGTAGTTTGCTGTTGAAACTAAAAATCCAGCGGTTCATTTATGTATTTTTAACATTTTTTGTTGTTTCTTGAAATATTTGTGTTTTCTTTGTTAGGGAGGTGTTATCATCCGCCACCGGAGGCAAAAGGGTGATAATGATATCGCCTGTTTTCTGCAAATGTTTTTTTTTTGTTCGTCTGTTAGTAAAATATCCCATGAACCGTTGAATAGATTTAAACAAAACTTTAGCAAGTTAATCGTTGGGTGACCTTGTATAGTTAATAACGTTTGGAAGCTAGTCCAATTCAAAACGGCCACCACAGCTAAGCAACGTTGGTTAGTTTTTCAGACATTGAGATAAAATTTGGTGTGGTAGTAGCTGAAAGTCATCCCTAACACTTCCTTTGATCTACGCCTAATCTTTGCTTAAAAGGTCTGTTAGCGAAATATCCCTCGAACAACTGGACGGATTTTAACAAATTTCTACCACATTCAAGATGGCCGCCACAGTTAATTGACATTAGCCTGTGCAAAAACATAAAATAAAATAGAAGCAGAAACGGTCAGTTTTAGAGAGTTTGATGTAAAACTTGGTGTGGTAGTAGCTGAGAATCAGTCACAACACAAACTCTGAGGAAATCACACAAATCATCGTTTTTTTTTTTCTTAAATTTGACCAAAATAACTAATTTCTCAACACATGATTCTAGTTTAAAACTTTTGGCGGGCAACATGCATTAATTACCTCAACTCTGTCCGCTTTGAGAAGATTTGGTTTATTAGTTTTAACATCTTCAGTTAGCTTTAGCCTGAAAACATTTTGTCGGGTCATAAAAGCGTTTGTTGCTTCCGGCTGACGAGTCACAACCACAAAGGTCATGAATCATTGCCCTGAAAATCAGAAAGGTTCACAACAACAACAACAGACACTCTGTGTTTATCAGCACAAATGGTCAAATTTGAGTTCCGCTTCACGTTCAGCTGCGAGCGAAGCGGCTGCCGTCCATCATTAAGTGACTCAGAGCAGTTAGAAGTCTGCAAGAGAGGACGACCAACGGTAAACTCTGAAACGTGACAAACTGTTTATGTCCAGCACAGTCTCAGTGAGTACATTATTTTTAGCTGCTGCCGTGCATCTGTCTGTTAGCAAAATATCCTACAGCAGAGCAGATTTTAATTAAGTTTACGTTAGTTTATTTCTATAGCTCCAAGTCACTGCAGAAGTCATCTCGGGCACTGAACAGAAACATTCACAGACATTATAAAAAGACAATTAGTAAAAGTTCTCTATCTAAGGAAGCAGCAGATTATGTTGAATCTTCATTTTGTGACAGTCTCCCATCCTGAGCGAGCACAAAGGAGACGGTGGAAAGAAAAAACTCCCTTTAACAGGAAGAACCTCCAGCAGAACCAGACTCAGAAGAAGCGGTCATCTGCTTTAACCAGCTGGGTTTGACAGGACAGGAAGTGGAAACAGACACAGAATGACAGGTCCAGGTGAACTTTCTATAGTCCAGGCGAACTTTCTATAGTCCAGGCGAACTTTCTATAGTCCAGGTGTACTTTCTATAGTCCAGGCGAACTTTCTATAGTCCAGGCGAACTTTCTATAGTCCAGGCGAACTTTCTATAGTCCAGGCGAACTTTCTATAGTCCAGATGAACTTTCTATAGTCCAGGTGAACTTTCTATAGTCCAGGTGTACTTTCTATAGTCCAGGCGAATTTTCTATAGTCCAGATGAACTTTCTATAGTCCAGGTGTACTTTCTATAGTCCAGGCGAATTTTCTATAGGAGTAAAGACAAAAAACATGTTAAGATGGAAACAATTACAAATACAAACAGGTAGAGTAGAGTGAGTAAAGGCAGCAGCAGAGTGAGAATATGTGGTCAGTTTGTCCTCAGCAGTCTAAGCATATAGCAGCATACCTAATGGATAGCTCAGGAAACCCAAGTCGACCCTACCTATAGGATTTATCAAAAGGGAAAGAGTCAGTCTTAAAACCGAACAATGTGTCAGCCTCATGGACAGAAACTGGAAGTTGGTTCCACAAGAGAGGAGCTCGAGAACTGAAAAATCTTCCTCCAATTCTAGTTTTGGAAACTCTAGGAACCACAAATAAACCTGCAGTCTGAGAGTGAAGTGCTCTGTTAAGAAAATGGGGAACAATAAGATCTGTAATATAAGATGGAGCTAGGTTGTTGAGAGCTTTGTAGATTAGAAGTAGGATTTTGAATTCAATTCTGGACTTGACAGGGAGCCAGTGGAGAGAAGCTAAAACTGGAGAGATATGATCTCTCCCAGTAACTCCAGTTAAGACTCTGGCAGCAGCATGTTGGATCAACTGAAGACGTTTTAAAGAAGTATTTGGACACCCAGATAATAAACTGTTGCAATAGTTCGGTCTAGACGTGATAAATACAACAAAATGAAACTAAAACTGATTAACTTTTGGAGTCGGCTCTATTCAAGATGGCCGCCACAGGTAGCAAACACAAAAATGGCTTCAACAGATGTTTTTGTAGATGTTGAGCTAAAGTTTGGTGTGGCTGTAGCTGAGAGTCATCCCCAACACAAACTCTGAGAGCTTACAGACCGTTGAAAGTTCGGCACGTACGGCAACGGGCGACATGCGTTTCTTTAAGGATGTTTCTTATTGAAAACATAAAAGTTTGAATTATATCAGATCTCATTTTAAGACGTAAAAAGACGCTAACTGCTCGGATAGAGCCTCGTCAGAAAGTGTTCAGATACATTTGTTTTGCACGTTTAAATGTGGACGAAAGCAGAAAACGGTGACATCGTTTCCAAACGGACCAACAGAATCAAGAGAAAGATGATTTGGTTGAAATGAGGGAAGATGAAAGATATTCACAGCAAAGCAGCGAAATAAACACGTTAAATTGTTGAAGGTACTTGTTTTGAAGTCGACACTCGACAACGAAATAAATAAATTCACAAAGTAAAAAAACTAAATTCATTTTTGGACCTTAGATTAAATTTTTACCTGTAGAGTGAACGTGCGTCAAACGTACAGGTTGTATTTGTTCAGATGCAGGCGGGTCACCATGACTTGAGGTTTCTGTGGTTTACAGCGGGCTCAGTTTTGTTTACGTTGAGCGCGGACCTGCATTTTTAAAATTGCATCAAAGCATCTGGAAGTAGTGGAGTAAAATATTTTAAACTGCTCCATTTGATGTAGCTCAGGATAACCTGCTTTATGTTTGATTTCATACTTTGCAGTGAGCATTTTAAACTGTAAAAAAAAAAAAAAAAAAAAAATCAGGCAGCAGATGAAGCTGACCGGATGTTGGGTTTTAGTTTTCAGATTAAAAGCCCATTAAGGCAGAGGTGGAGCTCCGGCCTGTGATTGGTGGTTGTGTGGAGGGAGGGGCGTGTGAAGGCTGCAGGGGGGGAGGGGGATCCCCCGCTCTGAGGCTGGAGCGGAGAGTCCGGCCTCAGTCCAGCCGTGCGTAAAGAGCGCAGAGCGCGCAGTGGAGCCGTGCGCCGCCGGGATCACCGAGCAGAGCTGCTCCCTAAATGAAGCCTGGTTCCGGTCCGTGAGCTCTTCGCCATGAGCTGCCTGGATGTGATGTACCAAGTGTTTGGACCTCAGCCTTACTTCAGCTCCTACAGCCCCTATCACCACCAGGTACGGCTCGGTTCGGCCCGGACTGCAGGCGCAATGTGAGCCAGTCCTTTTTGGAAAACTAAAGAAATCTGGCAACTCGATTACATTTGATCAATAAAAGTTAGTTGATCTAAATCTTGATTAATAAAAGCCTGAATACATTTTTTTAAAGTCTAAACATCTAAAATATTTATTTGGTAGAACTTTGATCAGCTTCTATTTTAAAACGAGTTCTGTGTCTTTAAACAGAAAATGTCTCCAAAGTAACTGTTTTGTTATATTTGTGTAGTTTTCAATCATTTAAAGTTGTTGTAAATGTATTTTTATAAAGATAAACAGAAGTGAGCAGATTATTTTGCTGTTTTTTTGGACATTAATTAAAACAGTCCAGATAAAAGAGATCCAGTTTATTTGCTTTAAAAGGTTTTAATGACTTTGATTCAAGTTAAGCTGATTTTCTTAAGTTGATTTGTTCTAATCAATGTTTGCAGAGCTTTTATTTATAAATAATAAATAAAGGCTTTGATCAAAACCTGATTTTTATCTAACAGCGCTCACAGCCCAACGTCTAACAGTTTATTCTGGAGCTAGAATTTCATTTATTTTATTTTATAAGTGACAATTAGTTGAAAAATGATGCAAATCGAACGAGTTACTGAATTTTTCACCGTAACTTTGTGTCTGAGTGTCAGCGGCTGCTGCTTTTCGAGGCCTTTTCAGACCTGTTAAAGTTTTGCGTCCCACTTTTAGTCCCTTTAAAGCTCTCGGAGGAATATTTCACATGGTGCCAAAACTCACTGCGTCTGTCACCTAAACAGACCTCAGACCAGCCGAGTGTCAAAGTGTCCAGTTTCACCGTTTATGTGCAGCGTTTTCAGACAACCTGTTATTTTCAGATTATTTCTCTCCTGTTTAAGTCCTGCACACATTGTGGCTTTGAATGAGCAGATAATTGTAGCAAAACCCACAATTATGAACAAAATGCCACTTTTGCTTTACAAATTTTACAAATGGAAAAGTAAAAAAAAAAGAAACGTTTTGCAGTAAAACAAAAAATGACTTCATGTTTGGATTTCCTTGTTGCCAGCAGGTGAAAATGCAACATATGTTTGGGGTTTTGTTAGATTATTTCCAACGCAGCCCCAACTGTTGAGTCAAACATTTATGTGACTTTTCTGACTCAACACAAGAAATATTTAAGAATCCAGACCAAAATATGCAAACGAGTCACAAAAATCTATTTATGAATTTGTTTTATGATTATTGTTTTTTAGAAACTGGCTTTGTATTCCAAGATGCAAGACCCCCAGGAGAGCAGCAGCCGGCTCGGCCCCCCGGGGCCCCCGGCGATCAAAGAAGAGGACAAGGAGCTGCCGCCGGGCGCCGAGTACCTGAGCTCCCGCTGCGTCCTGTTCACCTACTTTCAAGGCGACATCAGCACCGTGGTGGACGAACATTTCAGCCGCGCCCTCAGCCAGGCGACGGCGTACCCGAGCTCCAGCCACAAGGCGGTCAGAGGTGTGTGGAGGGGGGGGGGGGGGGGGTGGGGGGGGTGGTTGGGGCCGTTCTAAAATAACCAGTGTGTTTTCAGTAATTATGATTAATGCTCTTTATTCAGACATAAAAGCAGATCCTTCATGTGAAATCCTGTCTTTTTGCACTCACGTCCAAAGTAGTTTAACATTTAAAGCATTCGGTCCGAAGCTGCAGGCGTTCTGCAATTCTAAATTTAATCCTGAGCAAAATCAAAACTAATTTAATCCTGAACCATTTCTTTTACATTTCTCCAAAGCTCGACGCGTAAAGAAACGAGGAAAAGTTCCCAGAATTACAAGCAGAACTGTTTTTCTTTTTTAAACTGGATTATTATTATGTATTTTACCAGAGAGCAACGATCACATTTAACTGAATTTACCCAGTTTGTAACAGAGACTTTAAACTGGTAACCAAATTAGTTTGTTGAAAAGTCCACACTGTGTTTGTTCCAGTTTTATCTGGATTATTTCAGATTAACGCAGCTAAAAGTTTCTCAGCGGTTGTTTTAAGTTTAACGATATTTCCTCTCTCACCTTTAATTTAAACATCGTTCTTGTTTTAATTAAACAGTTGAATTCCCACATTAACAGCCAGACTTATGAGCAAGTTTTACGTCTATTATTTTAACGCTTTTGCAGTATTTTATAGATTTCTGTGTATTTGTTAATTTGATTTGATTTTAGACTCACTCTGGTATTTAACTTAGAAAATATGGAACAGCAAAATGCTCAGAATTAATTAAATAAATAAAACATTATGAAATAATAAATAAATAAAAAAACTTTTATTTCAAATCAATTCAATATACTTTATTGATCTCCAAGGGGAAATTTCATCTTTGTGTTTTTCATAACAGCTTATTTATGTCATAATGCGACTTTTCAGCAGAACGACTTGAGCTGTCAATCAACGTCAGTGGGTTGGACCTGACGCCCACTGTCATTAAACTCAACAGAATAACGATAAAAGTAAAATAAAGTCACTGGAATAAATATAAAATAAAATAAACTGAATTTCTGTGGATTAATTCTTCACTGTGTTTTATTGTGACTGATTTGAAAGGGGAAATAAAAACTTAAAAATAGATGTCAACAAATAAACAAAGATTCTTTTTTTATTTTTATTGTGCTGGAAAGCTAAAAAAAATACGTTTTTTCGCTCACATTGTGGCGTAACGTGTCTTAAAATTAAAAAAAATCCAAGTTCTGCATCTTTATGTGACCCAGTAACATTTGAAGTAAACGGATTTCTTCTTAGTCTAAAATTAATGTTTATTTTTTGTAGAAAATCATGAAAAACTTAAGAAAATATCATAAATAGTGATTTTTTTTTAAGGAGCACTTTTTTTTTAAACAAAACCTAAAATAAAAATAAAAAGTCTAACACACTTTAGTGAATATAAAGTTAGACAAAACAATATTTTTGTTTTTGAAATGGTCCAAAAATGTCATTAATTTGGTAAATTATAACCATGTCAGCTTAGATTACCAGTAAAAATGTAAAATTTGTGGTAACATATTTTAATGTGGGGTGAAGCGTCGGCACAAAGTTTTCCACAGAAATCCGTTTCCATCGTCTCGGTTTGTAAAAGACACGTCTCATGAAGGAACTCGGCTCTCTTGCTTCTCCTCAGACGGATCGTTTCCCATGAGTCAGAGAAGTTTCCCGCCATCGTTCTGGAACAGCGCCTACCAGCCGTCCGTCTCCTCCGCCCTGGGCGGCGCTCTGTCGGCCCCCCACGTGGAGCTCTCCTTTCCCGGGGACCCGTACTCCTCCGCCTCCCTGCACAGCCACCTCCACCAGCCCAGCTCGGACTCCTGGCACGCGTCGCACCACCACCATCACCACCACCACCCTTACTCGCTAGGGGGCACCATAAGCACCCAGAGCTCGGCGTACCCCCGCCCGGGGGTCCACGAGATGTACGGGACGGCGTTCGACCCGCGCTACGGCTCGCTGCTGGTGCCGTCGGTGAGGTCGCACCACCGCCTGTCGTCCGGCAGCTCGGTGCCGGGGCCGAGCGCCTCGCCCTGTGACCTTGGGGGGAAGGGGGAGTCGGGGTCGGCCTGGAGCGGCGCTTTCACAGGAGCCGGAGCAGAGATCGGACTCAACGTAGACTCAGGTACCTCCAGTTAAACCCCTTTAAAACACACAAACTCATCTCTCCTCCAGACGCTGCGAACCTTAAAGGATCGTGCTTTCTCCAGCTAGAGTTGTGTAATTTAATCATAAGTATCTTACCTGCAGCAGACAGCAGTCAGACGGACATTAAAAATCCAGGAGAAATTATTCTAAAGACATTAAGCTAACAGCTTCTAAAACAACCACTTCATTTTTATTTTGTTCACGTTGTGTGGTGGATTTTAAAAAACATGAAGATTTTAAAGAATAGAGTTGTTGTTTTTTTGTCGTGGTTTGTTCTGCGCCAACGCAGGCCACAAGTTCAACAGAGCACAAACACACTGGAGGAGTAGTGGCTGAAGTAAAATGACCACGCAGTACGCCCATGTTCCCTGCCGCTGACGGATTCATGATTGTAGTTTTCATGACGAGTGTTTTTCTTAACTGGAATCAAACGGAGAACACACGTACATGTTTTTGATGCAGGATGTTCAAGTGTGTAGGAGTCGCACTGTAGAAGAACAGAGGTAGATGTTTTTTTTCTTGTTAAAGGAGGCGCAGAGTGACTGATCCTGGAGAGTGGAGGGAGAAATTTTCTCCAACACCAAGGGTGGAGCCAGGGGGTGGCCAGTGGTGGCCTTGGCTGCCATAGATTAATCTTTGGCCACCTTAATCATTTAAGGAAGTTATACTTTAAAGTTAAAGAAGTTAATTAATGTGCTCTGGACGGATTCTTCTTGTTGAAACATTTCATCAGTGAGGAGCTCCTCAGACTGACCATGTCTTTTGGATAAAAACCGAAACGGTTCAACAAGAAGACCCCCAGGCCGACAACAACAAAATGTTGGTGGGGAAGGTGAGGCGCCCACACCTGCCTCCACTCTCATTTTCCCCCACTTTGGGCCCTTGAGCAAGGCCCTTACCCCCAGCTTCTCCCCCGGGCGCTCTAGATGCAGCTCTCCGCTCCACACAGAGAGCTGTGGTAGCTCGGTGGTCTGTGGTTGTGTCAGGAAGGACGACTGTAAAAACAATCACCAAGTCTTCGTTCACTGTGGCGACCCCTGAAGAAGGGAGCAGCCGAAAGAAGAGGAAGCTCTAATAAAAACACGATCCGAGCTTTTTAAACGCCTCGTTTTGTGACGAGGAGTCGGAACTTTGTGTGGACTCAACGGGAACTGATGAAAGGAAAGTGAGCGGCGTTGTTCACGTTGCTTTTATGGAGCTGTGGCGGATTTACAAACCCTTTTAACAATATAAACGTCTCGCCACATTTACATCAGGAGACAAGAGAATACGGATTAAAATGGAAACGCGCAGAATAATTTCTTCGTTCACTTTGTATGAAAGCCAAATCAAATTGGTGCAACAGCGAGCGGTTCTGGTGTTCAACCCAGTTTCATCTTTTACCGCCTTTAACGGCGATGCGTTCAATCAGAGACGGACGCTCCTTCATGACGCACTTTCTGCTGGAGTCAGTTTCCAGATTTCTGTTGACTTTGTAGAAATGTGATTTTAAATTGTTTTAGATTGTACCAAGAAAAGGCTTTTCTAAATCAGAGCAAATAAAACAAGAAAACCCAGTTGAAAACGAGCGTCCTCTACAGACAACACCATGAAAATACATTTCTAAGCATTTGGCTGTGATATGACTGTTTTCATTCATTCTGACACAGAAGTTATTGAACACTACCATTTTCAGCCGCTAGATGGCACTGGTAGTGTATGGCATGCCATTGTGTCATGTAATAGTTTAAAGTGGCTATTAATGACACATTCGGCTTGCCATAGGCTGCCACCTTCGCCCAGCTCGCCTGGAGCAACCGTCATATCAGCTTCATTTCGCTGCGCCGCCCCGATGAAATGAAGCTGATTTGGCCATTGAAGTGCGTTTATTAAGGAAAAGTTCAACTGAGACACAACTTTACTATAATTTTGAGCAAACAAATATATGTTTTAAGTAATAATCTTGTTAAATTCTTGTTAAAGTCTTCCCATGCACGCTCCCCCAGCCATTCGATTCTTGACACGACACCGGTCCACATTTCTGGGTTGTCAGCGGTGACGCATAATAGATGCGACTCATACGGCGAAGCGACATATTTATGGATTTTTCCACTTTATTAGACATATTTGGACTGATCTAACTTATAGAGCGGTGCGACGTGTACGGTGGAAAATACCGTAGTTTTTATTTTTTTATGACACTTCTTCTGCAGCTTCTGCACTCATGGACAAGCAAATAAGTTGTTTTTATGTTAATTTAAATAAAAAAGTTTTAGGAGTTTCAAAGACGACAAAAACCTCTAAAAAAAGACAAACGGGTTCAAAAGACATTTAGGTCTTTATCTCGCTGGGCTGCGACTCTTGAGGACAGACTGAGATATTCAGGAGGAGTTTCAGAAATGTCTCAAAGTTTTTTTTTTTAATCGCGTTTCAGGTTTCTTGAATAAGGTGTATGTTCAGAAGACAAATCTCAAAACAGTCAGAAAACTTTTTGTTCCCGTCTGAAATTGTCTTCAAAATTTAGTTTCCAACCAAGTTGTCATTAACTGGATCCTTGGAAGAAATGTAGGCGTCCTGAGTGCCCTTGTAGTGATAAAATGAGAGTAAAAGTTTAAAACACCGAGTTCATAACTGTGACTGAGCTGCTGTGAAATAAGATGCACGACGTGCATGCAAGCAAACTTTTGTGAAACTTGGCCCAAATGTTGCATCTAGGCCTGTCTTGATAACAAATTTTGCTGGGCGATTAATTTTCTCAGAAATTATTGCGATAAACGATAAAATTGTTTGAAATTTGACAATAATTAGTAATTATTGTCAAATTTAAGAATAAATAATGGTTAATTTGTTTTGTGTGTAGTGCCATTTTTTTTACCTCTATATGGCAGTATAAGACTGCTTGAACCGAAGGATGGATAGTGAGGGAGCGAGCAGTGTGTCTCTTTAAGAAAAATGTGAGGGAGGCTCCTTGACGTGCCATGGGCTGTCTCTCTTCAGTTCTCAAAATGGCGAACATTCGGTGTGGTTTGAGCTCTTTAGCATAGTATTTGTCACACCAAACTTTTAATTAAAAAATCAGTAAACAAGTTCTCAGCTGCTTTTTGCAGAGAAAAACAACTTTTTACACGAAGGCACAGGTTTCAACTGTGAATTTTGAATCTTCGACAATCTTTTTTGCTCGATGTCGGCCCATTAGCTTTGCTCGTAGCTTAGCTGCTCTGCTTAGCTGCTTTTAACGATCCAAGAACGCGATTTTGGACGGTTCAAACAGATTTTAAAGAAAAGAGAACAAAGAGAAAGGGAGGAGTCAGAGAAGAGCACCAGAGTTTAACTTTTTGTCATCGAGTGTCTTCAGTAGAAAGAGAGAGACACGAAGAAACGATAAAGCCGATAAATGAAAACGAGGTCGATAATTTTCATTCATCATGCGATTAATTGATTTATTGTTTATCGCAACAGGCCTAGTTGCATCGTAAACTCCAACTCAGTGTGTCTCCAAGTGAAACTTCACGTTTTATTTTCTAGTTCTGTGCCCCCAACGGTTTCAGCTGAATGAGATCCAGGTTTTAAAGATGTAACGATGTTGCAGCAGACTTCGTGGCTTTTATTGGTTTCATCATCGAGCGGCAACAATAGAGCCGTTTTTTATCCTTCTGTTTTTACATCTGGACAGTTCTCTCCAAAAGTGGGGGCAAAAATACGTCAAATTAGGTGCTCGGAGTGGTTATTCTATTAGATTTAAAGAAAAAGCTCTTCTCGGGCTATTTGTTGTGTTTTTGACTCGTCATCAGTGAAGTTGCTGCAACGTTCTCTGTTTGTTGTTCGGAATATTCTCCTTTAAAGTCGAGGAAATTGTTCCTGCAGAAACCATTTTTAGAAGTCGACGACTTTCTCTCGAACAACTAATTGTCTGGCTGACGTGGATTTTTCTGCATAATTGATTAATTAATTAAGGAATGCTATGTTTCCCTTTAAATTCGTTGGTTGAGGCCGTTTTTATGTCACATTGTCGCTGTGTTTGCGCTCGCAGGATTAACTCACACAAGTGGTTGAAACGGACACGCTGTCCGTCAGTCAGCACACCAACACCTGCTTAGCTTCCTTTTCTCCTGCCGTCGTCTTCATCCCTCCTGCGCCTCGGGCGCTTCCCTCTGCTTTTATCCACAAGGCCTTTTCATTGTCTAATCTCTCCGTTCTTTCCTCTTCTGTTGCTGTTTTCTCCTCCTGCCTCTCTTCATCTCTCAGGTCTGCAGTCACAGGAAAAGAGCAAGGACCTGTACTGGTTTTAGACTCTTTCTCCTCTTCCTCTCTGCCTTTCCTCCCCCCCACCTCCACTCCTGCTCTGCTGAAAATCAGTGAGAATTTTTTTTGGGTGTAACAGCTTGTGGTCTGCTTGCAGCTCTGTGTTACGGTGGACTGTGCAGCACAGTGCAGCCCTGCTGAGCTGAACACCGGCAGAAAGACTGTGTGGATGCAACGCTCCCAGAGAGGAGGAAGGAAGGGAGGGAATCCGATCTGGACGGATGTGGACAAAGACGGGACTCTTTGTGCTTCTGTAACAGGCGGGGGGACAACATTCCTAAGCTGGGAAACGTCTGAGGACAGACGGACAGACGCATGTGTTGTTGGACTCCAAAGAGGAGAGCTTGAAGGACTTGGCAGGACCTGCTCTCAACTGGGAGTGTTGTGGCTGCTCGACGAACCTCGGCGGCGTCGGGGACGGCAGACGACGACAGCAGGACGAGTCCAAACGCTTGGGTTTACACGGAGGACTCAGCCCGACGCGAACGATCAAACGAACTCGATTGGAGCTGATCTGTGTCCTCGCTGTTTGCTCTAAACTCCCGGGAGGTTCGATCGATTCAGGATGAAGCGTGCTCTCTGTCAGTCCTGTTTTATGAATGTACGCCAACGCGAACAAACGAGGAGTTTCACAAAAATTAACACGTTTCAGGTGAACGTCTTGTCAGTTATTACAGGAAACAAAACATTTTATGATCACGTTTTAAAAACCGATGAATTTCCTGAAACTTCTCGTATAACAGCTAAAAACAGACCAAGTGACTGTGTGGTACATTTTTTTATGCTGCTAATACTTTCACGGATTTATTTTTACACACTTCAGCTCTACAGGTAATTCAGTCAGCAGCTGTTCAACAAAACACAAGGAAAGTTTGTTTTTTTTATTGAGCTTTATTGCTTTAAAACAATCAGTTGTGAAACTAAACGGTATCATCCTCCCTTGTGCTGCTTTGTCTCTGTTTTTCACTCAGTTTAGTTCCTGTCAGTTTTTTATTTCCTACTGGTCCGTCTGAGGCGTGCGATGTTCTTCTGCGGGTTTATTCTCATAGTTTTGTTTCTGTACTGCAGAAAACGTGAAGGTTTTAAAAGCAATGTAACTGTTTCACAAAGCTACGGGAAGCATCAAGATGTTTGATAACTAGAGACCGGACCAGAATCCAGAAGTTGAAGCCACAAAGGGGAGGCGCCCCCTAGTGGCTGCAGAAAGTTTTAACTCTCATCCCTCTGTATAAATGAATCGGATATTTTTTTGACTAAAATAATTAAAATACACTTCAGCTGTTGGTTTTTGCTGATTAAAGCCTTGCTGCTGTATAGTCAATGTGTTGTATTAGTGAAGAAAAATGTCTAAGCTGTGATTGACAGCCCATTAGCGAGTTGGTATGGGATGTTGGTGGGACTTTTGTATCGAGGGTTCAACCCGGATTCTGGCTTTAAAAGTACAACATGGTACAACAACAAAAGACATTTTGGATTTCGTATTGAACAAAGTGAGGAAGCAGAGATGCTCCGTCCATTTTTAATAATGTCATCAGTGGGAAGTGGGGGCGCTGAAGGTACCGCAGTACCCCATCTGGAGGATGTCAGAGGAAATGTATATCCAAATTCAGTTTAAACGCATAGTCTGGAAACGATGACCGGTCTGATAGTTATCAGCAGTCCACACCTTATCAGCTGTGACATCAGAGTACAGAGAAAAAGGGTAAATGGACTGTACTTATCTAGCGCCTGTCTATCTATTCAAGACGCTCAAAGCGCTTTACAACACAACCTGTGTCCTCATTTACCCATTCATACAGCTCTATACTAGATCTCTACAAAAGATGATTGAACAAATCATTCTAAAGAGACTAATCGAAGGAGCCCAATATATTTTTTAGCATTTTTCAGACTTTTTAAAAATTACTTAAAGACAACACAACTGTGTGATGAACACCAGGTTATTATAAAATCTAGGGATGCACGATATGAGGCTCAATGGGATTAGCCTGTCTAAATAAAGGTTGAATGAATGAATATTGGATTTTTGGCCGATACCAATACCGATACTTTGTGTGTGTTTTGTGCGTGATGTCATAACGTGCTGACGCTGCAGCCGTCCTTGTCACTGGGTTGTCATACAAAAACAGCGCCTTTTATATCCGAGTTATTTTGATGGAATGGGCGATGTCCGATATTTAACTTTATCGCTACTATCAACCGGTACCATGCCGATAGTATCGTGCATCCCTAATAACGTCTGTAAACTTTTGACGCCATTTGTTTAGTTTGTCGCCGTTTTCTCAACTGAACAACGTTTGTGTTACTACACAAGCAGCGAGGCGTTGAGCACAGTTACACCGTGTTTATGTGAAAGATGCCGAGTCTGCTGGTTGTGTCAGTCCACCGAGAGTTCAGTAAACATTTGGACTGGGTAGACATGATGATTAAGCAGGCCGATACGTTCCGCGACCTCGGCACCGCCGGCTAATAACCGCGCAGGTTTAATAACGGTTAATGTAATGTTCGTTGACCACTTTGTCATTTTTGAGGAAAGGTTCAATCTAATTCAATTCAGTTTATTTATAAAGCGCCAAGTCACAACAGAAGTCATCTCAGAGCACTGAACAGAAACATTCATATATAAAACGTCAATGTTTTTAATGTGGGCTTTAAAAGACATGTCCTTATCAAAGATAACACCAACATTTTTTAACTGGAGGCCAGATTAATGCCATCCAGAGTTGGTGAAAGACTGAAAAAAATATTCCTAAGATGCTCGGGTCCAAAACCTCTGACTTGTCTGAGTTTCAAAGTAGAAAACTTTAGGATCATCCAGGTTTTTATGTCTTTAAGACATGCTTGTAGTCTAAGTAGCTGATTGGATTCATTGGCTTTAATGGACAAATATAACTGTGTATCATCAGCATAACAATGAAACTTATCCCATGCTGTTTATTAACTTCTCCTAATGGAAGCATATAAAGTAAAGAGTATTGGTCCAAGCACTGAACCCTGAGGAACTCCATGACTAATTTTTGAGGTTCTCATTAAGCCTGTAAAACCATCTCGTTCATTAGCCTAGCCGTTAGCTTAGCCTTGACAAAACTTCACTTCAGAATTGATTAAACTGTTTTACAACTAGTTAAAAACACAAACTGAAAGGTTTTATTAGAGTTTCGTATGTTTGAATTAAAACATTTTGATTTTATTGAGTTTTGCAAATTTGATTTAAAAACCAAGTTGTCTTTTGTTTCCTGAGTCGACTTTAAATCCTGACTTAGTAGCGCAGAGGATCTTTTTAAATTTTAATTTTAATAGTTCTTTTTTCTTTTCTCATTTTTTTTTCACCTTGTGAACCCAATAAAACAAGCAGCAGGAATTTAAATACAACCTTTTCAAGCGCCTTTAAGCAAATTAATGAACACTGCACCAGTTTGAGGTCTAATTGAAACGCTGTTAACGAGGAACCTTTTCAATTCAAATGTTTACAAGATTTAAAGTAATCATCTAAAATGTTGCGTCTTTTTACTTTCAAATATCAAAAATCACCGGTTGTTGACATAAACCAGACTGTGATGCATTTTCTTGCCTCCCCATGAACTTGTTCGTTTAGTTTTCATGTGATGTATGAACCATACATGTATTTTTACACACTTTTGGAAAACAACCCGTTCTGCACATTCTTCATTTGACGTTTTATTTGTGTAGCACAAAGAAAGAAAACTGTCCGTGTAAAACCAGTAACTTTGTGAATATGTTTAAATTAAACTCTTTATATTGCAGGTCTCCTGAAATAAGCAATATTTATCATTTTTGTCTCAAAGTTCATTATGTCAGTTTGTTTTTGTGTGGATGTTTTAAATCACTCTCACTATTGAGATCCATTTTTCTTCTGCGTGTTTTTCAACAAGTAACTCGTTCAGCCATTTTTGTTCAGTTTCAGCTGAATGTTCGGCTCGTTCAGGACATTCCTGCTGTGACTTTTGGTATTTGTGCAGTTCTTACTTTTTGAAATATTTAGCTTTTTCAGCCATTTTTTTTTTCCTCATTGAAAATGAACGGAGCTCTTTACATCCGTCAAACTCTTCGAGCTGTTCGCAACATTTTACTGCTCATTTCAGCTTTTCTTCTGATTCAGCTTCTTTCTGCTAAATTCAGCGTTTTCAGCCATTTCAGCAATTTTTTATGTATTTTTCTGCAAAATTATAACTTTGCTTTTTTTTTTTTTATTTCAGCCTTTTGTGATTCTTGAATATTTTCAACTTTTGATGCTCTTTTCGGCCTCTTTGATAATTTAAACTTTATTTTAGCTTTTCAGCTACATTTGATCTGCTCATTTCTTTCTTTATTTGATATTTTCTTATTTTTTGTAATCTATTCATGTGTTCCTTTATTTTAGCTTAATCTGCTCATTTCTGCTCTATCCAGTTTTTTCTACACATTTTTTCTGTTTTTATTCGCTGCTTTCAACAAATATCAGCTGTTAGCGATTAAACTTTTTCAGCTGGTTTCACTTAGCAATTATCATTCACACAGCCTTCTCACAGGAAATATTTGTTCTAGTTTTAGTCTTTATGAGTCTTAAATGAGACGGTTATGTTATTTTTATTTAAATTATTATTATTTGCATTTTATTCACGTTAAAGTCTACAAAGTCGCAGTTTTTTGGCGTCCTAATTTCTTTAACTTTCAGAAGGTGAAATGCGTTAATGTTTTTATTCTTGCCCGTGCATTCATGCACATTTATGTGTCTATCTCGTGAAACACTGGATGGATTTTAGTGAAACTTGCAGAAAGAAATCAACGTCGAGCAAATTCAAAATGGCTGCCTAATGGCTGACCTTGAGTTTATAAGTGAAAATGAGCCGAGTTAGCTTTTTGGAATCAACTGTTTCTCTTGGGATGTATCTCATTCACCAGAGAGAGAATTTTTACTGAATGTTTTGGAAGCTAATCTTTGACTGCACGTCCATAAACGGTTAACGTTTGGAGTCGACCTGATCCAACACGGCCACCAACTGGCCTTTGAGCAAACGAAAATGATTTTTACTCCGTTCATTTTGCAAGTATTGAGCTAAGACCTGACGTGGTAGTAGCTGAGAGTTATTCCCACTCTGAGCGTGACATCTTTCAAAATCGTATAAAATCCGGCCTAACCGTGTTTTCAAGGTTTTACCAAATCGGCTGCACTTTTTGTCGTTCCTCAAAATGCTGCGTCTAAAACTGACATGAAAGCAGCGGGCGATATGCATTCCTGCTGCCACTTCAGTCGTTTGTCTTAAATTAGACAGTTTTGAGGATTTTCTACAGACTCACACGTGCACAGACACTTGACTGACGGGTTAAAGCTGACAAAGTGTGATTCAACGTAATAAGAACATTTATTATAATATATATAAAACTCCATATTGACTATAAAGAAGTGAAAAAAAAATTTCTCGTAAGCATTTTTCAGTTAAGTTTGGCTGAGCCAGTCTGCTCTGACCTTATTGATCTGGATAATTTACAAGTAAAATATATAATTATAAAAAAGAAAACACATCTCTGTGACCGTGTCGGCACGAAAAACATAAACTTCACACCAGAAGCTGGCGAGGAGGAGAGGAGGCGTCTGATGAATGAGGAGAACGACGGCGATGTGGAGCCACTTGACTCTTTCTGTGCCTGCACTCGTGCAGCTGTCAACGACAACTGCTCTTCAGCTCGGTAAACACGCACGCACGCACGCACGCACGCACGCACACACACCATCTCACAGAGCAAACTGAGCCTCTGATCCTAATAAAGGGAGCATTTAGAGGGAGCTGCAGGGCTGGGACAACTGGTGCGACGGACACACAACTGTCAGAAAGTCATTTGTGAGCGAGGATGTTTGTGCAGCCGTGCGTCTATTTTTGTGCTGACAAGGAACACCTTTTATGTCGGGACAAAAAAATATATATATATAAGATGAAACAAAGTTTGAATTAGAAAGATTCGAGTAAAACTACAACACCAGCACTTTATCTTTTTTGTTTTGCTATAAAAGTCAATTTAAAGTTACAAGAGATGCACGATTAAAGGAAAATGTGCAACAAAAATCTATTTTTTTTTTAAATGTTTTGCAGTCGATAAATCTTGAAGCGCCGTTTCTGTGGCTGCAGCTTTAAAACTTTTGTTTTTCCTCTCTGACTTCCATCGTTGGTCAAAATCACACGCCTGTTTGTTTAGTTTGTTTCTATGTTACGAGCAAAAATATGTGAACAAAAGTAAAGAAAGGCAAGATGTTAAAAATGTGTTTCAGTTGGCAAATGACAAACATTTAAAACATATTTAAAAATGAGCAAAACTTTCATTAAACGTATAAATCAAACTGTAAATGATAAATAAATTCTGTGCAGGTGCTTTTGAAATGAATAAACAAGTATGAATAAACATCAGCTGCTTTTTGTTTACGCTTCATAATCACTCGTTCATTTATTTATTTATTTACTTATTTATCAGTTTATTCCTTCACTAATCAGCTTCTTTAGCTGCCTCGTGTCTTTTGTTGTTGTTTTTTTTAAACTGCTGAACAGTTTGCAGTTTTTTTTTTTTTTATTACTGAAGTGATACAATTTAAGGTTTTCTTAAAAAAAAAAAAAAAAATTGCTGTGATGTATTTTAATAATTTTAATCCAAAGCAAATATTAAAAAACTAAATGTTTTTGTCTCCAGTCTAACTCCAGAAATATTTGGCTTAAAAAAGTCCCCATT